TCGTGTGCCGCGTGGTGGAGATCAAGCGGCCCTTTGGCGTGACCATGTACCGGCTGCGGAGCGGAGCTGGAGTGGTGGAGGGTATGCATCAGGCCAGCAGGCTATCTAAGGCGCCACCCAGCCTGGCCAGCGAGCTGACCTTCAGCGGCACGGCGCAGCGAGGAGTGCCTGTGGTGTCTCTCAATGTGGCGATGGCGGCGCAGCCCGGCGGCGGCAAGGCAGCCGTGCGCTGCGGCTGCCGCGGCGCCTGCACCCGGAACTGCAGCTGCAAGAAGAATGGTGCGCGGTGTGGGCGGCACTGTGGCTGTATAACCGGTAAGGGTGGCAATTGCAAGAACCATTGAAGAAGTGTGCCTTGTACGCTTTGCCGTCTCCGCTGAAAGGTGCTGCCGCCTGTGGCGGCTTCATATTTCCTGTTCATTTCTGTTGTTCGGTCTCTCTGTTCGTGTTGGTTGGCTTGTAAGAGTTGTATTTCTGACGCTAGAGAGGTGAGATGACAGCGGGAGCGTTGAAGCGTGCATGCCATCACGTGTGCAAGCAGCCCCGCTCCGCCCCGCTCAACCCTCAAACATGGCTCTATGGGGTCAGTTCACGTATGGGAGGGGAGCGCCGCGCGGGCTGCCAGGAGCGAGCGGGGGCGGGGGTTGCCCAATCGGGAGGGTGCCACATCAGGGGGCAACACATGCTGCCACCAACCCTCTCGTGCCTGCCCCTTGCGCCGCAGCATCCACACCTATCTGGGCTGGTTGCAGCTTGCAGTAGCGGACACAAAGGGCCCAGAGGAGAACCGTATGGTGCTTGCCGCCAACACCAGCTTCCCTTTTGTGGCGTTCAAAGACAAAAACATTGGCGGAGAGCTCAGGTGTGCGCAGGCGTGGAGCTCTGTGATTTACTGGGTCGCAAACCCCACCAGCAGATATTCTACTCAAAGCTGGCTTGCCCCACGTGCGCTGCAGCGTGAAGCGCTGGAACGAGACGCTTGGCGCCTTGTATCAGTACGCCGAGAAGCCTGGCATCTCAGAGGGGGTGGTGTCCAGCCTCAGCATGGAGCTGCACCGCCAGTGGGGCGCCCCCGTGGCCTGCTTCCGAGACAGCTACTACCCCGGGGGCAAGGCCAGCTGCCTCCTGTACCTGCCCGCCGTCGATCAGTGGGCGTACCCCGGCTCGCTGTCGGGTGCAGGTGCGCAGCCGTTCACGGCAGCACGGCATGGGCGCCAGGGCTGAACACCCTGTGCACCAGGCGTGGTGATGTGGCGCCTCCCCCTGACGCCCTCCCTCACACGCTGGGCCTGACTGGACGTCCCTGGTCGTGCGTGTTGCCCCCACACTGCCCCTGCACCCGTCCGCCTGCGCGCAGGCTTCACCCCTGGCGGCGCCGCCCACATCAGCCTGGCCACCCGCCCCAGCGGGGACCTGCTGGTGGCCTTCCAGGACCAGAGCGCCGGCAGCAAGGGCGCCGTCATGATGCTCAACTACACGTCCAAGCTGTGGGGCGCATGGGGCACCCCCTTCTCCAACGGCCAGGTGGGGCTTTGGCTCGCTGTCGCTGCGTGCGGGCAGGCCCTGGGTTGCATCGCTGAACACGCGAGTGGTCGACTCCTGCAGCCCTCGCCCCCAACACCCTCCCGTGTGCTGCCCACCCAGCAGGCCTCTGTCATCTCTATTGCCATCCACCCAACCACCGGCATGCCCTGGGTTGCATTCAAGGTGGGCAGCCGCTACCATGGCAGCAGCTGCAGTGGCCCACCTCCTCCACTGATAGCCGCCTGACACAGCCGCCACTCCGCAGGGTGACGCGCCAGGAGTCAACGGCATGGGCAATGCGCTCACGGTAGTGCAGTGGAATGGCACAGCCTGGCCCTCAGTGGGGCCATCTGGGTTTGCCGGGGTCGGCACCAATTACGCCGTGCTGGCATTCTCGCCTACCAGCTCTGCAGCATGGGTCGCACACCAGTGCGATTCCATCCTTCGCAAGCTGTGTGTGCACACCTGGATCGCCAAAAGCAACTGGATACTGCGAGGCCCGCAGGTGGGTGGGCAGCTCGAGCTGGCTGGCTTGCCAGGAGGGCAGATGCATGCAGCTGTCCCCAGCTGCTGAGGTCCGCCCCCCGACCCCGACCCGCGCCCCCAGGGATTGTCCACTGGAGCGGCATCGTACCTGAACATGCGCTTCCACAGCGACGGAGTGCCCGTGGTGGCCTACATCGATGGCGGCAAGTCGAACCGGCCCGTGGTGAAGAAGTACTCTTTCTGAACGTGTGAACCTTGGCACTTGTCACTGCTGGTACAAACACTGACGCTCAATTCCATTTTTCCAGTTCATCTTGTATCATCCTATTCTTCGATTTATATCGTAACACTAAGAGCAACGTTGAATGCTGAATTAAGGAGGCTGTAGCCGCGTGGTGGCGACACCAAGTGATGCAAGGGGGCCGCCGGCAGTTGTACCGGCAGCAGGGATGGGCGCTCAAGGAATAAACGCGGCGGCGGCGGCGGCGGCGGCGGCGGCGGCGGCGGCGGCGGCGGTTGGTGTCACGATGTGAATCAGCGGCAACAACACATGGCTGGCCCAGGGCAAACAGGTGGGTGATGAGCACTTGCCCTTTTTCCCACACAGCTGATGTGGCCGATGCACTCACACATTCTGCCCTCTCCCTCCAACCACCGCTGCCGTCGCCCTTGACCCGCTCTCTGGCGTGCGCAGGGCATCTCACATGGGCTGACAGCGATCAATCTGTGTTTGTGCCGTTTGTGGCGCATGTCGACGAGGGGAAAGGCCAGCAGAGCAGTGGCCCTCAAGCATGCGTGAGGAGCCTGGCTGCGAAGGCTATACAAGCACAGAGTCACTCACACTGCGACTGTAAATTGCAAAAGCAGAGCACACAGTGGGGCCCGCATAGCAAACACACCAGCCCTGCAAAAAAATGTGTGCATGCATCAAATGTTCCAGCTGGGCGCCTCGAGCCAGGCGTCAGCAGCCACAGCGGTCTCATGCAAACCAAGCCCGCCAGGGCCACGGCGTCGCCTCATGCCGTGGCTGCCGCACCCTCCGGCCCCGCCTCTGTGCTGCTCTCGTCGGCGCTGGCCAGCTGCAGGATGCGGCGGTAGTAGCCGATGCCGCGAAGGAAGTCTTCCGCCGCGATGCGCTCATCCACGCCGTGCACCCGCCCAATGTCTGCGCGAGTGTAGCGGTGGGGGCAGAAGCGGTACACGCGGCCGCCCGCCAGTGAGCTGTAGTGCCGGCTGTCGGTCATGCCCCTGCAGCGGCCATGGGGACTTCGGGGGTGAGCGGGGGTGAGGGGCAGCGGGCCCACCAGGGCAACCCCTGCACCCGTTCCACAGCCTGCGGGGCGCGCATGGCCATCCCCACACAGCAGACTGCTGCGCCCAGGGTCTAGGCGCCTGGGGCTGTGCATGCGGGGCGTGCCTCGCACCACAGCTGCTGGCGCAGCAGCAAGGCGGGACCCGGCCCCACTCACGAGACAAGGTAGGGCGCCACCTGCAGGCCCCCCGGCGGCTGCAGCGTCTCCAGGATGGCTTGCTTGATCAGCTGCCAGTGCGGCCCGCTGGACGCCGCCACGTGCGACGCAGGCACGCTGCCCTGCACTCGGGACGCGGTGGGCGGCGGGCAACCAAGCCTCGCCCATCAGGCCCGCAGGCAACGCCAGGTGAACAGCACGTGCACGGCCGCAGGCGGCTCTTTCAAACGGCGCACAGCGAGGCAGGGGCGTGTCATGGCCCAGCTGCTGCCAGGGCGCACCAGGGGCAGCTTGTGCAGCGTGACGTGCGCCGCCTCCTTGCGTGTCACCATCTCCAGATACTCCTGTACGAAGGAGGAGTCGTGGCCTGCGGCAGGCACAGGCCGCAGTGGCACAGCGGGCGATGACAGGGCAGCATTGAAGGGGCAGGCAGGCAGCTGGCTGGGGCCGCGGATGGGTGGCGGCTTGGCACAGGCAAGGGGCACACGCCATCTGCGCTGGCACCGCCACCTGGCGCAGCACAGGAAGGAGTGCAAAGAGCACCCCCGCCACCAACCACCCAAGCTTGTTTACACTACATGCATACCTGGCAGCAGCCGGCAGTTGACCTTAATGCTGCCGCTCCTGGGCAGCACGTTGTGGGCTATGCCGCCCGCCTCGATCTGGACCTGCAAAGGCAGCATGCCACGGAATGCAGGCAATGTCGATGTAGGTGGACGCTGGCAGTGCATGCGCCAGGCAGTACAAGTGCGGGCGTACCACTCCACAGGTAGTCCGCACAAAGGGGTTGATCTCCTTGCCGGCTTGCCCCAGCAGCTGCCCCAGCACAGGGTTGACGATCTGCAGGACGTGGCGCGGCAGGAAGACACCAGCTGATCACGTGCACAGCACCGCCATCATCCCTCCTTGCCGAGGGGCACAGTGGGACAGCAGCTGGCGCCAGTCCCTGCCACCCACCCACCACCCCCTTCGCCTGCCACCACCCCACCCACCCCCTTCACCCACCCAATTGTTTGCGTTTTGCAGCAGCATCCGCAGCGGCGCCAGCTTGACGGCTGGCGCCAGCGCTTGCAGCCAGTCTGTGACGGGCGCGCCGAGCTTGGTGGGGGTGGGGTAGGCGTCCATGGCTGCCAGGACGCGGCTGATGCGGGCAGCGACTGCGGCAGGGCGCACCAGGGTGCACTTGCGATGTTCAGGCCAGCAGCTGTGGCAGGCGTGCAGCCGAGGGCAAGGCTCAGCGAGCCCCGCAGCTCACGGCACACACCTGAGGAGCCATCTGTGGGGGGCATGCTGCTGTGCCCGCCCACGCCCGCCACCCGGATCTCCCAGTCCTCGATCCCTTTCTCCGCAGTCCCGATCAGCGCCACGGGCTGCAGCCAGGGACAGGCGAGTCGTGGCAGGCCGGCTGCAAGTGTGTCCCAGGGAGCAGCGCTACGCCTATCGGGGCGTCGCCCAGGCTGCGCAGAATGCGCAGCCTCGGGCCTCAAGGAGCCGCGGCACCCACAGCACAGCACGACGGGGCCAGAATGCGATGCGAGGCGCTGGCCCGGCGCCGCACCCTCTCCACCAGCTTGAAGTTGGGGCCAGACACGCCATCCATGAGGACGATGCCGCCCTGCCACACAGCAGCACAGCATGTCGCGAAGAAACAATCAGGGGCAAGGGAGAGGAGGCGAGGGGAGGACACAGGATTGCCGCTACATGCATGGGCGGAGGGTTGGGCGCCCGCTGTGAACCCAGCGCCCCGCTCCGCTCACCTCATCCAGCACCAGCTCCAGCTCCACACCCCGCGAGGCCAGCAGCGCCGCCATGGCACCCGCGCCTGCACGCAGCCCACCGCGCAGGGGGGGCCAGTGCCAACGGTCGGCGACAGCGGGTCATGGATGCGCCTTGTTCCGCACCCACACATCTCGCGCAGCCACGGCCACAGCAGCGCACCTGACCCCCCGCCGACCTCCTCATCGTGCCCAAACGCCAGCAGGATGGTGCGCTGCGGGGCGTAGCCCTGGCGCAGCAGCGCCGCCACCGCCTCCAGCTGCTGCAGCACCGTGACCTTGACATCCAGCGCGCCGCGGCCCCAGATGTACCTGCGGCAGGGCCCGAGGGTGCAGCGGCATGGCCTGGGGTCTGAGCAGCGGAACAGGATGCTGGTGGAAGGCCCAGCAATCACACTGAGGCTGCTCCGGCAGCTGGCAGCCACGGGTGGCTCACAGCACAGCAGCGGGGCGTGGCGCAGCACACAGCGGCGGGCTCACCCGTCGGCCACTGTCCCAGAGAAGGGCGGGTGGGTCCAGTTGTATCCGGGGCCCTCTGGCGCCGGCACCACGTCCATGTGGCTCATGGCCCTGCAGGCATCCCAGGACCGCCAGCGTGAGCGCCCCTGTGCGGCCTCCCCCTGCCTGCCCCACCCAGCTGGGCGCTCAGAGGCTCACAGGACTGGGCGCAGCTCCGGGTTGCTCCCCTGCCAGGTGAACAGAATGGAATACTCGCTGACCTGTGGAGCATGGGGCAGCGGGGCGGGGGGTGGACGGGCAGACCCCTCGCATGGGCATCTGAGCTAGGGGAGGGCAGCGGAGGGCACGCAGCTCACCCGCTCATGCTTCAGTCTCTCGTACACCAAGGGGAAGGAGCGCTCCAGAAAGTCGTGCAGCTGCTGGAATGGCGCAGGGTTGCCGATGTGGTTGGGCGCAGAGCTGTTGGCCAGCGTGGCAAAGGAGAGGGCGGTGGCCAGGCGGCCCACCGCCCCGCGCTCCACCTCCGCGTCCAGTTCCAGCTGCAGCTGCTGCACCGCGGCATCCTCCGGGTCTTGGCGGAAGGCTCCGGGGGCCGCCTTGAGCAGGCCGTAGGCCACCACGGCCAGCGCCAGGACAATAATGTGCAATGATCGGCCCATGTCAGCCAGCGTGCAGTCTGTCGCTCTTCTTAGCCTGCGATCATTCAGGTTATAACAAGCAGATGGGTTTAGATGGATTCAGGCTTCTCCTGCGGACGCCGAGACCTCGATCCCACGTCAGCAGAGAAACCACAGTTGAGCCTCCCCAGGGGCCTCAGGTTATTGCGATCACTCCCCAAAGAGATCCCACAGGCGCAGAGACCCTGTCCCTGCGCTCGCCCCGCTGGTTGTTTCGTTGGGCTGTCGCCTTTGACTCACCTTCAAATGGAAGATAGCGGGCTGGAACAGCTCCCCAAAGAGCTGGTGCGAGAGGTGCTAGCACGCCTGAGCGGAGCGCGAGACCTTGCCTCAGGTGCGCGCCCACCCCCACCCCTTGCGGGCCGCCTCTGGGCGGCCTCACGCAGCCTTCGATCACCCCTGGCCTCCTTTAGCCACCGATGGCGCGCCGTGAGCAGCAGCCGTTGGCGTGTGGGCGCCAGCCCTCCCCGACGTCGCCAGCGCCCTGCCGCCGCCGGCGCCAACCCCCGCCTGCCGCCCCTGCGCCGGCGCTGCCGCACGGCTCTGCAGTGGCGTGCAGCACCCGCAGGCTGACTGGCCTGGTTGAGGACAAGCTGTGGGGCGTGCTGGTGATGGGACGGCTGGCGCGGCTGGCAGGACTGCTGGATAGCTCGCCCGCCCCGCCTGAGTGGTGGGTGGGGCGCAGCTGGCGAGAGCGGTTGTCAGCCCTGGTGGCAGGGCTGCCCTTTGAAGCCCAGGTGTTCAACAGAGAGCTAGGTGGGTGTATGCGCGAGGGGTAGGAAGGCTGCAAAGCAGGCGCAAGCCACGCACAGCAGGATGAGCAGCAGATTGCGTGCGGTTTACGCTCAGCTGTCAACCGTTCCGGCCCGTACTTTGGGGCCAGCACCATCCAAAGCTGGGCTCCCCCTTCCCCGCCCCGCCGCTGCCTGGGTGCAGAGAACGAGCAGGAAGACTTCCTGCTCAGCAGCTACGATGCCACCTGCAGCCTGACACCCGCCACCGCCCGCGGCCTGCTGCGTGGCGACGCCGCCCAGCCCATGCGCTTCACCGCGCGCTACCTGTGCATGGGGCAGATGCCGGCGGTGGTGGAGGCGGAAGTGGCGCAGGAGCGGCTGCGCCTGGCGCCCGCAGGCAGCAGCCCATTTGCGGTGTTTGGCGGCGGGTGAGCCTGGGGAGCGGTGCCTCCTCCAGCAGAGCTGGGCAGTGCGTCTGTACGCCACACACCTCCCCGGCTTGTGGTTCACCCCTGCTTGTTCAGCGGCAGCGGTTCACTCAGCCTGCCGTTGCCTGCCTGTGCGCGTGCGTGGCCCGCTGCAGGAGCACGTCGTCGGCGGGGCTGTGCATCGGGGAGGAGGTGGAGGTGCAGTGGAAGGGGCGCCGCTCGCACCCCTTTGGCTGGTGGTTTGGCACGGTGCAGAGCGTGCGCGGCAACCGCATCACGCTGGTGTTTAGGTGAGGGGTCCAGGGCCGTCATGCACCGACTCAGCAGCTCCTCAGGCTGAGGCCCACCCCACTGTGGGGCATGTGTGCGGCGCAGGCCGCTCTGATGGCAGCATGCAGCGGGCACAGCACTGCCGATGTAAAGCCTCGCCTCTCGAACCTGCCCTGCCGTGCCGTCCCGACGTACCGCCCCGCAGGCAGTACCCCCGCACAAGCGTGTGGCACCGCGTCAAGGCCCCCATCAAGCCCGGCAAGGAGGCGGTGGTGAATGGGGACTGCAGCTTCGGGTGAGGCTGCAGGCTGCGGCTGGCACCTGGCTGCGGCTGCCACCAGGCTGCGGCTGGCACTTGGCGCATGGCGATGCACCTCTCAGTTTCTCGCCCTGGCCTGCCAGCAACAGTTGGGGCTGGGTGGTCCCCTGAGCAGCGTGTTGCTGGCTGCTGGTCGGCGAAGGGCAGCTGGCCGACTGGCTGGCACACCCCGCCTGCCGTGAGCCGCAGGTATGTCGGCGGCCTGCGGCGGCTGACCGGCGGGGAGCGGGAGGAGTGGCGGCGGCACGGCGCGCCGCACCCGCCCGCGCCAGAGCAGCTGGCGGCGCTGGAGGCGGCGGCTGAGGATGAGTGGAGCGATGAGGACGAGGATTTGGACATAGGTGGGGGGGGGCACCTGGAGGGAAGCAGAGGCCTGGGTTGGAGCCGACCAGGGGCTTGGGGACAGCAACTGGAGTGGTTGCAGAGCGGCAAAGAGGGGAGCCCAGCCGGCCTCCCCAGTTGCTGCCCGTGCCCTGTGCTGCACTGGCTGAGGGTGGCTGGAGTGGGTGGGCATGCTGTGCAGATGCTGAGCTGGCGGCCGAGATGGAGGAGGAGTTGGAGGAGCTGCCCGCCGCGCCGCACGCTGCCGACGGCCATGGCGCCGCCGGTGCGGCTCAGGCGGCGGGCGCCGGCGTTGAAGCCATGGATGTGGTGGCTGCGGAGGAGGCGGCGCCTGGCCCCGCGGCGCCGCCCGGACAGCCCATCGCGCTGCAGCTGGGGCAGCCCGCGGGTGTGGCAGGAGCCGCCAACGGGGCAGGGCTGCCGGTTGTGCTTGCGGGGGGGCTGCCCGAAGCGGCGCCGCACCAGCCCTGATGGCTGCCTGTTTGAACGAACCCAGCCGTTAGGAGTGCGCCTCGCCAGCTGCGCCATTGCGCATGCCTGGCCTGCTTGCTGCCTGTCGCCGGCTGGCGCAGGGCTGAGCCCCCAGCCAGCCAGCCGGCCGCGCCTTTTGCTGGCCCCATCAATCCTCGTCGTCCGCACTGTGTGACTAACGGACCGCTCTGTATCCATTCTGCATCGCTGTGTACACCGCCTGCCTGCATTGCCTCCTGCTGTTGTTGTTCCGGCCAAACTCCAAACCCAATGCTCGCTCGGCACTCCATCGCCCACTGCCGCCTGTCCCCCGTGGGCGGCCCACCCTGCACCTGCACTGTTGTCCCATCCCACCAACTAGCCCCTTGTATCATGTTCCCCACCAATCCTGCGCATTGCTGGATTCCTGCTTTTTCATAAGCCGCTGTACGGTGCGAGCGCCGCTGTGACCGGCGGGCACCCGCCGACGTGTGGCAGCGGGCCTCTGCCTGCCTTGCGCATCCTCTTTTGTAACATGGCCTCAGCTTGCGCTGGCTGTCACGAAGTGATGGTGTGTGTGTGCTGCTGGTAGGTGCCAGGCCGCATGGAAGACGTCTGGCCATGACCGACCGCAGCTATGGTGTTGATGTCAGCACCGATTGGTTCAAGGCGGCTGGCTTGATCGGGCTCGAAACCCAAACCCGGCGCTTGCTTTGCGCGTGTGGCATCAGAGCCAGGCTCTCCCGGCGCACACCGGCGCACACACGTGACCTGCTCTTGGCGCCTGAACCACTCGCCGCAGGTAAGCCCTACGCGGCCATGGCGCTTTTCGCGTCACGAGATTGCGCGCCGTGTACCAGGGGAGACCTTCGGGCCGCACGGCGGCCACCCGCCCCGTCGCCACCCGCCGCGCCGCCGCCTGCCCCCACGACTGCGTGCAGGGAGGCAGGGCAGCCGCCATGTCCTTCCACCACGACACCCGCAGCGAGTCGGCTGCCGACCTGCATGCCAAAGAGGTCACCTCGCCAGGGCTGTGGAAGCAGCGGAAGCGGGAGGTGAAGCAGGTCGAGGAACAGGCCGGGGCGCCAGGTGAGGCACGACAAGGGGGTCGGGGCCTAAGCCTGGGGTGGAAAGGCGTTACGCCGTAATTCAGCTTATTACAGTGGTACGCCGTCAAGCCGTAAGAGCGTAGGCCCCAGGCCTAGGCACGACGGCGCACGCCATGCTGGCGCATCCAGCGGCAGGCAGCGGCGCCAGGCCAGGCGGTGGCTGCCTGCGCGGGCTTGCCGACCTGCCTGCCTGCCTGCCTTGGTGCAGTCATCTGGGTGTCGTGGCTCAACCGGGGCACCAACTTCAGCCACGAGGAGCGGCAGGAGCTGAGGCTGGAGGGGCTGCTGCCTCCCGTGGTGGAGTCTCTCGACCTGCAAGCGGAGCGGTGGGCGGGGCTGGGGGGGGGGAGGGGCGGGGCCAGCTGGGCGGGCAAGCACATGCCGGCTGGCCCACTGATCGAGGGGACAGCAGGGACGGCGGCAAGCGTGCGGGCCGTGCTGATGCGGCCGGGCACAGCAGCTGGCCCAGGCTGCAGTCGGGCCTGCGCAGCAGGTGGCCCAGCGGCCGGCTGGCGCGGCGCCCTGGGCTGGTGTGCAGGGTGATGTGCCAGCTGCGGGAGGAGAAGAAGACGGACCTCATGCGCTACTCCATCCTCAACCAGCTGCTCAGCTCCAACCAGGTGCCGGGACCAGCCGGCCATGCTGCCCAAGCTTCCCTCCTGCACTGCCTTTGTTGCTCCCACTGCCCTTGCCCTGCCTTGTCTCATGCTCTCCTTTTCTCAGCACCGCCCGGCCCACCAGCGCCCACCATGCCTGCCTCCTCCTCCCGCCAATCTTGCAGACACTCTTCTACAAGGTGGTGATGGACAACCTTGAGTACTGCGCACCACTCATCTACACCCCCACAGTGGGCGAGGCCTGCCAGAAATTCGACCACATCTACCGCGCGCCGCTGGGCCTCTACCTCTCAGCCTTCCAGCACCGGGGCCGCTTCGAGCAGGTGGCGCGGCCTGCCTGCCGCGGCAGTTGCGGCGGGCTGTGCCGTGCCCCAGCTCCCGCCAGCCGGCCTATCCCTTGCAGCCTGCGTCGCCGACACCACCCAGCCTCCCCACGACCCTGCCCGCCCTCACGGCGCGGCTGCCTCGCGTGCTGGGTGCAGGTGCTGCGCAACTGGCCCAGCCACAACGTGCAGATCATTGTGATCACCGACGGCTCCCGCATCCTGGGGCTGGGAGACCTGGGCACCAACGGTGAGGGCAGCCTCCAGACCTGCCGGGAGACCTCCGCCAGCCCGAGCCGAAGCGGTGGCCGGGCGGCTGCATGGCTGCATGCATGCATGCATGCAGCGGCGGCTGCCAGCGCGTAGCCACCTGCCTATGCCCCCCACCCCCCCACATGCCCAGCCCCTCTGCCCCGTCCTGCAGGCATCGGCATCTCCATCGGCAAGGTGGCCCTGTGTGAGTGGCCAGGTCCTCAGTTTGCGCCGGTCCCGGGACAGCCCCCCTCGCCCGTCGGCAGCCAGAAACCTGTGTTTCCCGCCGTGCCTGCTGATTCTCCCTCCCCCTGCCCCTGCATGCCCCGTGCAGACGTGGGCGGCGGCGGCTTCCACCCGGAGCACTCGCTGCCGGTGGTGCTGGATGTGGGGTGCAACCGCAAGGAGATGGTGCAGGATGCTTTCTACATGGTGAGGCCTGGCCTGCGGGTGGGGGCACGTGGTGGCGAAGCGGTGCAAGGGAGGGCCGGGTGAGGGCGGTTGTTGTGTTGGTTGTGCGGCAATGGTTGATGGGAGCGCACACGCCCCGACCTCCGCACAATGTCGGCGGCCGCAGGGCGAGCGGCGTGAGCGGCTGGAGGGGGAGGACTATTACGGCGTGGTGGAGGAGTTCTGCACAGCTGTGAAGAAGCTGTGGCCCAACGCGCTGCTGCAGGCAAGGAGTGTGGGAGGCACGGTGGTTGGGCAAGGCGTGGAGTGTCTGCATGCGTGCACGCATGCCATCCGGTTTGCTTTGCACGCTGGCCCACTGACGCTCACATGCACCTGCCTGGTGCCTCCCTCCTCTCATCTGCAGTTTGAGGACTTCCAGACTGAGCGGGTGAGATGAGGGCCTGGTGTGGAGCAGGGCTGGGGTGGACAGAGAGAGAGAGAGAGAGAGAGACGAGTGGAGCCTGTGGTTGTTGTTGCAACGAGCACAATGACGCCCACCCCGCCATCTTGTGGGCTGATCTTGCAGGCCTTTGAAATTCTGCACCGCCACCGCAACAAGCTGCTGTGCTGTGAGTGTTGCTGCCCGGAGCTTCGTGTGACGGGAAGGCTGTGTTTTGCCTAGGGCTCCTGCCCCATGCTGGGAGGCTGCTGCTGCGCACATACCTTACCCTTCTCACCCGCCTGACTCCCCTCCCCTTGGGCCCAGTCAATGATGACATCCAAGGCACCGGCGCGGTGGTGACCTCAGGCTTTGTCAACGGCATGAAGTGAGCTCCTGCAGCTGCGAAACGCTAACTTCCATCACGCCACCACGGCCCGGCACACGCTCCCGCCTCCCACGCATGCTGTCTCCCTGCCACCTGCTCCCGCCGCCACTACACATGTGCTCACTCACCCACATTCCTCCACCCCTCTCTGCCCGCAGGTTCCAGAAGACCGAGCTGCAGGACGCCCGCGTCGTGTTCTACGGCGCCGGCAGCTCTGCGGTTGGCGTGGCCGACAGCATCGCCACGTTCATGGAGCACAAGGCGGGCATCAGCTGGGAGGAGGCGCGCAAGCGCATCTACATGGTGGACTCCAAGGGTGGGTGGGCCGGGTGGGCTGGGTGGGCTGCTGAATCCAAGGGTGGGTGGGCTGGGCGGGGCTGCTTAGTCCAAGGCAGAGCCTGGGCGGAGCCAGTGCGGGTGCCGGGGCAGCACCGTGAGGAGCAGCAGCAATGGCTGCCTGGCCGGCGGGTTCCTGCGCGTGTTCTCAGGGCTACCGCATGCAAAGTCCCAGTAGCAGAGAGGAGATGTGGGCCTGAGGGAACTGTCGCTTCTGTTGCTTTTGTGCAGGCCTGATCACAACCACCCGCGGCGACCACCTGGCGGAGCACAAGAAGCGGTACGCGCGGGACGATGGCACGCCCGACATGAAGGTGGATCCATATACTGCATGAATATGCACCACACCATCCCGCTGATTTGCCGGCAGCTGGTTGTTGCCGCTGGCAGACACGCTGCAACTCTACGCGGCACTCAGCCAGCAGTGCAGCTGGCTGTCACCGCGCTGCTCCTCAACCAGCTGCTCCCGGAGCCTGCGGTGCCTGCTGGTGTGCGGTGCTGCAGGACCTGAAGGACATCGTGGCTCACGTCAAGCCGCACGCCCTCATCGGCCTCAGCGCGGCGGGCCCCAGCTGGCCCGAGCCCGTGATCAGGGAGCTGGGCGCCAGCGTGGACTGCCCGCTCATCTTCCCGCTGTCCAGTGAGTTTTGCTGGGTATTGTTGTGTTGGTCGATTCAGGTGCTCGTGAAGGTTTTTGGTTTAGCAAATCTGCTAATCGTAATTTTGTCCGTTTTCTTTCTTTTCTGTAGACCCCACCGACAAGGCCGAGGTGACGGCAGAGAACGCATACAAGTGAGTCCAGAGTAAATGTGATTAGCGGCTGCTGGTTGGTTCCCGCTCCTTGCACATGCAGCATGGTGCCGACGCTGCGACACGTCGTGCAGGTGGTGCGGCGGCAAGTGCGTGTTTGCCAGCGGCAGCCCCTTCCAGCCTGTGCACCTGGATGGCACCACCTACGTACCTGGCCAGGCCAACAACGTCTTCATTTTCCCCGGTGAGTGGCTCCCGAGACTGAGGAATGGGAAATGACATGGGAGAGGGGCCCTGGATGGCTATCCGCACGTGTTGTTTGCCCCCCACACATCGCCCCGCCCCGCCCATCTGCTTGCAGGGGTGGGCTTCGGTGCTGTGATGGCCAAGGCCAGCACCGTCACCGACGAAATGTTCGTGGCGGCCTCCCAGGCAAGCGGCGAGCCACCGCAGGCGGCGCGTGCCTGTTGTCCCGCCACCCACCTTGTCTTACAGCTAGTCCCAATGGGCCCCTGCCTGCAGGCGCTGGCCGACTGCGTGACAGAGGAGCAGCTGCAAGCCAAGCAGATGTACCCCAACATTAAGGACCTGAGGGAGGTGTCGGCCAAGGTGGACCTGCCTGCCTGAGCAGACAAGCAGCGCCCCTGAGCGGTGCCGACGGTGCTGAGCCTGCGCCCCTTGCCTGGCCTGGGCTCCCTGCTGCAGGTGGCAGCCGCGGTGGCGCAGGCGGCGTTTGAGGGCGGCGTAAGCGGGCTGGTCAACGCGCCAGGTGTGCGCCGCTGAATGGGGCAGGCCTGTGCTTGGACCGCTGTGGTAGAGTAGGTGTTGATGTGTTTGGTGGCTGACCTTGAGGCATGGCATAGCGCTTTGCTTGTATGTTGAGTCTGCTCCCCCTGCTCTTCCGCGCTTCTCAGAGTACTGGATGGAGTATATTCAGGACAGGACCTGGTGGCCCGATGGGCGCACCACCCGGACTGCCGGGTGCCCCCTGCAGCCCCCCAACGGTTTGCCGGGGCGCCCGCCGCTGCACCCGCCCGCCGGCCACCATGCCTCGCACCACCACCCCAGCGGCGTCCCGGCACACCCCTGAGGGGTAGGTAGAGCGGCAGTGTGTGCATGTCTGTCGCCAAAAGGATGACTTGTTGTAACAGACTTTGTCATGGAGAGCCTGGCACTGCACCGCCAACCTGGCGCCGCCTGTCGGCCATCTTTGATGGCGGCTATCTTCACAGGGATGTAGTACCTCGCATCGTACATTAGTCGCCGTCCGATCGTTGCACCAGCCAGCCTTGCAAGTCGGCAGTTGCGCAGTTGCCGTCGGGCTCCTATCGGTTCCCGTGATGGCCGCCTGCCTAGCCAGTCATGCACTTGCTGATCGTATCTTGCAGCGCTCAGCCCCACAAAGCCCCACAAATGCGGTTTGCAGCGAGGCACATGGCACCTCCCCTGCTGTCGCCCGGGCCTCCTGGGGCCGCTGGAACGCCGCCAGCAGCGGTCGACACATCAGGGGTCTTCTGCAGCGCGGCACACACGCAGCGACAGCAGGTGAGCCGCCGCCACGGCCACCGCCGGGTTCGTCTGGCCGCGGCCGCTCAAGGGGACCTGCAAGCGCCCCACCCCTCTGCCTTCCTGCAGTGCCCAGCGACAGCATCAGCAGCAGTGCCACCACCCGGGATATTCTGGATGTGGCAGAGCCGGCTGAGGCGGTGTTGAGCGCGGCTGTCAAGACGCAACTGCTGCGCTGCCAGCTGGGCGGCGGCGGTGGCACGCTGTGGATGGAGGTCGTGCGCAGCAGGCAGGGCAGGGTGGAAGTGCTGTGCAGCGGGGAGCTGCTGCAGCTGTCGGTCACGCAGCAAGGGCAGGTGGCCGCTGCCGCTGCCGGCTTCCTGCCGCGCCTGGGCGACGCTTGGGTCAAGGCCACCCCTGGCCTGGCAGACGCGCTGAAGAAAGTGCGGCAGCAGCAGGCAGACGACAGCAGCCTGCCCTCGCAGCTCATAGCAGCGCATGGCGTGGCCTGGCTGCAGCCGCTGCAGCCGCTGCAGACGCTGGCGCAGTTTCGCGCCTCGGTGGCGGCGGCGCCTGGGCCGTGGTGCGACGGCACCGTGCCCGGCGACCCTCCGCCTACAGAGCAGGATGTCGCGCTGCTGACGGCCGGCGAGCTGGCAGCGTTCCTGGAGGGCCAGCGAGGCGTCTGCCTGCTGCAGCTGCACAAGGGCTGGGGCGACAGGAGCTCCGGCCTGCAGGCGCTGCTGCGGCCCTGGGTGCTGCCGCTGCTGCAGGCGGCCGCGGAGCACAAGGGCGTGGCGCTGCTGCGCTCGGCGGCGCCGCAGGAGCTGGGCGCTTCGCTGGTGCTGTGCGCGCGGCAGCAGCCCTTCCACGCCTGGGGCAAGTGCCTGGCGTCGCAGGGCGTGCAGGCGGCCATCGTGGCAGACAGCCCCTACTACAAGCTGCTGATTGGGAGGATACTTGGCTACAGGGAGCACAACATCCATCACCACATCCAGGTGAGCGGCAGCTTCCGATGGGGAGCGGGGAGTGGGGAGGCCTGGCAGGGCCTGGCGGCTGGGTGCACCAGCACGTGGTGCATGCCTGCAGCTGGAAAAGCTTGCCGCCTGCCGCACGTGCTGCCCTGCCCCTGCAGTCCACCGGCGGCACAGTGACGGGCGAGGTGGTGGCGGCAGTTGACCAGGAGCTGGCGGCGCTCAGCGGCGCCCCCGCCAAGCTGCCCTGGGCCAGCGTCGGACGGCGACGGTGACCCGGGCTGACCGCTGGATCGGTTTTGCACTCGACATGGCAGCGGGTGCGCACAGATGAAAGCAGCAGGCTGTAAAGCAAGCGCACAGTGTCCCAGTTTGAGTCCCGTTTGAATAGCAGAATGAGGAATGGTGGACAAAGAGGTGGGCCTACTCCTCTGCAGCCCCCACCCTCCAGGCCCCCGCCCGAGCGGCGGCTGCCTTGGCCCGAGCAGCCGCTGCCTCCTGCTCCCCCATGGCGATCAGGCTCCTCAGGTGGGCATAGTCGGGGCATGCCTGTGGCGCCAGGTCTTTGCAGTAGCAGATCCATTGCACCAGCCAGGCGGGCACGCGGCCCGCCTTCACCAGCTGGCTCCACTTGGCGGAGCGCCGCTGCTCCATGAGCGCCAGCTCCCGAGGGCCCCAGTAGGTGATCTCGCACGGCTCGCCCCCGGTGTCCAGCTCCCGGCTGTCCTTGGTGACCGCCCTGAACAAAGATGGAGCAGGCAGGCAAGTGAAATCTGGGGCTCGAGGGTGACGATGTGACTGCCAGCCCCGGCACGTGTGCAGGCGCTCGACAGCTCGGCCCCGGCTGCTGCGGGCGGGCCGTCCCTTGTCCACCCTCACCAGGGCATTTCATCCAGTGCCAGGTCCAGGAATGTGTAGCCCAGCGCCTCGCAGTCGTCGCGCAGCCCCGGCCGCACGCTCAGCAGCGCGGCGGTGGCGGCAAAGTCGGGGGTGCCCACAAAGGACTGGGGCTCGCCCACGGTGGCAGCGTCAAACCTGTTTGTGCAGGGGTGTGGGTGCATAGCACAGGGCAAGAAGCCTGTGTGAGCGACGGAAATGCACCGCTGCGGCAGGAGGAGCGGGTAACCTTGATAGGTGCAGCTGCTGGCTGGCAGCGCAGCCCTGGCCCACCTGGAGGCAAAGCCAAAGTCGATGAGCACCACAGGTGGCGCCACGGCTCCCGCGGGGCTGACAACCAGTGAGTTTGCTGCCTGGGTGTTGAAGCTGCGCGCCACGCAGAAGTTGGAGGGCTTGATGTCTGCGGGGGAGCAGGATGGCAGCGCCGTCGCCTGCTGGTTAGCCTGGAGTGGCTTGCGGGCGAGGCCAGGCACACAGGGCGCTGCTCAGGCAGCCTGCTCCTGGCTGGGTCGCCCACACATCCACCCGCCCACCCACCGTTGTGCACAAAGCCCTGGGAGTGCAGGCCCTCCATGGCCGCCAGCATGCCGCGGGCATACGCGCCCAGTGCCGGCCGCGCCAGGTCCCGCTGATTCAGGGAGTGCACGCTGGGGCCCAGCAGCGACAGCGTGATCCTGCAGGGGCGGCGGCGCCAGGGCCGGCAGCGCTGTGCATGCTTGTGTGGGCGTGTACCAGGGCAGGGGATGCTGGATGGGGTGGTGGCAACGCGTGCATTGCCCTGCAGTGCTCCATGGTGCCACCCGGGACTCACCAGGGCGCCACGCCGTCGCCCAGCCTGACCAGGCCAAACTCAAAGGCCTCGGCCATCCAGGGCAGCGCCTCGCCGCTGGCCGCCAGATGGGCATAGGTATTCCATTCGGTAGCAAAGGTGGTCCAGGAGAAGTCCCTGAACACGCAGGATGTGCAGTGGAAGAAAAGGCAACCACTCAGCCATCAGAGGAGCAGCACAGGGCACCCACCAGTGAGAGCTGGGGCAGGCAGGCTGGCGGGCGAGTGGGGTTCAGCAGTGCTGCTGGCAACGCAAGCGGCGTGGGTGCTGCAGGAGGCTATCCACCGAGCCCCCAGCCAGGCACTGCCTGACGAGCCTCACCGGTGCCCCTCAATCAGCGTGAAGGTGTTGCCCAGCTTGAGGGCCACGCAGCGGCCGCTGGGCGTGTGCTGCGCCGGGTAAACCACGCCCAGCCCGCCGCTGCCCGCCTTCTTGGGCTGCAGCTGGTAGTCGCAGATGGACTCAGGTGGTGGCGGCGTGGAAGAGTGCTTGGCCGTGCCCTGGGGGTGCAGGCAGGCGGGGAAAGTGAGAGGCTGCAGGCAGGGAGGCGAGCAGGCACAAGGGGACCGGCTGGGGGCTGCCAGCCCGCTGGGTGCTTGCCTACAGCTCGTTGCTGCACATCCCACACCCACCCCAGTAGAGGAAGGGCTCGGGGGGCTGTCTGCGATGCCGCCGCTGTACCCGGACCAGCCCAAGTGCTCCTCGGTGCGCTCCCAGTCGTCTGCGTTATCAAAATCCTGCTCAATGTCCTGCGCGGAAAGCCAGGTGACCGCGGCAGCCGCAGCACCCAGTAAAAGGAGGTCGAGCTGCGATGCCATGCTGGTCAGTGCAGTGGTGCAGAGTTCCTGGCACTGGCCCAGCCAAAACACAGGTGGCTGGCCCCTACCCCCTTGAGCAGGTTGATGTGGGTGGCTTCGTTGGTGGTGGGCGGCGGGCAGTCGGCAGCCAGCTGGGGCACATCTAGTGGCCAGCAGAAGGGGCCATGGCGGGCCGCAGCGGCAGGCATGCTGGCAGCAGCGGCAGCGCAGGCATGCGGCAGCAGCGGGGCGGGCGAGGTGGTGGGCGGGTGTTGGTGGTGGGCGCTGGTCGCGGCGGGACCGGTCGGGGCGGGAGCAGGAGCGGTGACCACGCCCCAGCTGGTGGGTGCTGGCGGCACAGCGGCAGCGGGGCCCTCTGCCAGCTCTGCGGCGCTGGTGGGTGCTGCGCCATTGGCTGGGCTGGCGCTGTCGGCCACATCCTGTGTGGGCTCCACATCCAGCAGGTCAGCCTGGTCCTCGCCCACAGTAGTAGGCGCAGGGCTGTCCAGCTGCATGGTGCCTGGCACTGCTGCTGCCTCGTATGCTGGCTGAGTGCTGGCCACGGGCTGGGTGGCGGGCAGCTCGCCGTCACCGTCCAGGCCCAGCAGTTCACCCACTGCAGCCTCCAGGTCCACAGCCGCCTCCTCGGCCAGGCTGGCGGTGGCCAGGTGCAGCTTGGGCGCAGTCGTGGCGATGGTGGGTGCCGGGGCATCAGCGGAAGCGAGCGCCGCGGGCTCGGCCGGAAGCGCCAGCGCCAGCGTGGTGGCAGACGGCTCCAGCTTGGCCCGCTTGGCCGCTGGAGGCGCCGCCTCCGTGTCGGTGTCCTGTGGATGCTGCGCGGCAAGGCAAGGCGTCGATGCAGCAGGCAGGGCTGGTCAGCGGCGGTCTTAGCGCTGGTCAACCAACCGGCGGCGGGCAGAGCACCTCGTCCGCCGGCGCTGCGGCGGCTCACCGCTGCCCTCGTTGCCCTCTCCTGCTCGCCAGCGCTGTCTTCTGCCACCTCCTCAGGCTGCTTGCGCTTTGGGGTGGGACCCAGGCGCTGGGCCACCACCTCCTCGAGCAGGCCCTCCACGGCTGCTGCCAGGGAGTCGGAGGGAGAGGTGCCCATGGAGCTGAGCAGGCCAGGCTAGGGAGCGAGATATTGCACAGAGGATGCATGAGCCGAGGGAAGGAGGTCTGTTTTCGTGGTTTCTTCCTGGCATGGGCTCCAACGTGAACGTTTCCTGCCCTTCTTCTGCATCCTCCTGGTGACCCTGCCAAGCCTGTGTGGCCCACAGCCCCACAGAGGCCAGCCAGCCATGTCGCTATTCAACGGCTCCAGCTTCGGCCTGGGCGCAGCTGCAGCCAAGCCCCTGGACCCGGCGGCCGAGATCTCCCGGCTGCTCAACCAGCACTCCCACCACTGGCAGACGCTGGGTAGGGCAGCGGCCGCCACTCGCCGTCGCCGCTCCCCGCTGCGAACCTTGAGCGCTCGTGCCCTGCCTGTGTGCAGAGAAGGAGATCGCGGCTGTTCGGGCCAAGCAGGCGGCGGGGGAGAAGGCGCTTGCGGCCGCAGTGCAGGCCAAGGAGGAGGCGCGCCACTTCGCGGTTGCCGCAGACCAGGAGGCGGTGCGCCTCGAGGCGGAGGCCGAACATTGCCGCGCAGAGCTGCAGTCCAGCCAGGTGAGGGTAGGGTAGGGCTAGTGCAATAGCGCAGGCCAATAAGGGTTCTTGGTGAGACGGAGCTGCTCTGGGACTGCCGGCACCCATGGGACCCCGGGACACTCGCTCGCTGCCGCCCCCGCTGCTCATACTGCCCGTTGCGCCATGGATGCTGGCACAGGCAGCCAACAGCAAGCTGCTGGAGAGTGTGGAGGGACTGAAGCAGGAGCTGGCAGGCATCAACAGCGTGGCCGACCAGGCCAGGTAGGCGTGCGGCTGGTGCGGCAGTGGGGGAGGTGTCCGCCCGCCTTCCTGCCCTCCTTGCACAGGCCAGCCCAGCATGTGACATATGTCCCAGAGGGAGGGACCTGAGCTGCAGCCGTTCTCTCCACCATGTGTCTCCTTCTTTCCTGCTGTGTGCTGCAGGCAGGCCTTCCAGAACGAAGTGGCGGGGCTTGTGGCGGAGCTGAAGTGAGCTGCAGATGGGGAACAGCAGCACGCATGCACACACGGGGCTGCGCAGCGATGCAGACGGGTGATTGGCAAGCCTGGCTGTGCCTGTGCCTGGCGCTGCAGGAAGCTCAAGGAGGGGCACCCAGGTGCTTTCTTCACAGAGCCCACAGCTGGAGGCCACTGAGGGGATGCGGAGCATGGCTGGCTGTTTAGGCTGACAACACACTTGCCTGTCGGCGCTGTGCATCGCAAGTTCACCCGCGCCCCCAATCAAAATTGCAGTCTCATGTCCTTCCTCCTTACTTTGCTGCCCCTATTGTAACAGCATTGACTCAAGGACCCCGCTCACTCCTTCCGCCTGCTGTTGCCCGCCGCTTGCCGGCTCCCCATAAACCAGCCCAGCGCCTCCTTGGCAATGCTGGGCGGCACCTGCACCCAGAGCCATGCACGGTATTGGAAAGGCATGATGAGGCACACCATGCCTCCTGCTTTCATGCACAGAGCAAGCCTGCACCCTGGGGTTTGCAGCACCAGGCGGGCCCCCTCACCGTGTGCGGCCCATCAAACTCGCTGTACACCACCGCATAGCCGGCAGCCTCCAGGTGGGGCACCAGGCGGCGCGAGCAGTAGGCAATCCTCAGCACGCGGTCGTGCTGGCCGTGGGAGATGTAGACCAGGGGCCTGCCTGCAGGGGTGCGGTGGGCAGGGCGGGGAGAGGGAGGGACAGGACTGTGGAAGAGAGCCGGAGACTGTGGTTTGGCCCATGCCTCCTCGCCTCCCCACCGCATCGTCAGCGCTCGCACCCACTGTGGCGGGCGGGCGCATGAATCCGGGGCTGAAGGCGGCCATGTGCGTGAGCAGGTCGCCGTTGGCCACGCCTAGCGACAGCGCGTAGCTGGCGCCGTCGCTGAAGCCGCTGGCGCAGATGCGGCGTGGGTCCACGCTGTACTGCACACATGAGGCGGCCTACGGCGGCGCGGTGGTGGGGCGGCGGCAGAGGCAGCACAGGCGGGGGGCACAGCAGCATTGGGGCACGGAAGCGCAGGCAGCTGGGCTAGGGACCTGGTCAAAGGTTTGCTGGAGGGCTTTGTTGATGAAGGCCACATCTGCACGGGGCAGACAGCAGGCCATCCACCAGCTGCCCGAGATCGAGCCGGAGGGGCGGAGGAAGGCGTAGCAGCCAGGCAGCCTGATGCACCCCACCTGGGCCGTACCCGCCCCTCAGCATGTCCCAGGTGCTTCCCTTGCTCTGGGGGCTGAGCAGGAGGCAGCCAAATGCGTCGGCGTGGCCGACCAGGTGGCTCAGGCCACCCTGGGCGTCGCCGCCGGCGCCGTGCAGAGAGAGGATGAGCGGCGTCGGCGCTCCCGGGCTGTAGGTGGCAGGCACGTAGAGCAGGGCGCCCCGCTGGCCCTCATTGGGCACCACCAGCTTCTGGAGCTGGCCCACGGCGCCTCTGATGGCGGGCCACTGCTGTTTGGCACCAGAGGGGGGCGCGGCTGCTGTGAAGCGGCCGCTGCTGAAGGCTGCCTCTGAGGTGGCCCGCGCCATGGTGTGAACATGAGCAGTACTCCTCATCAGCATGCCTGATGCTCAACCTTGGATGCAACATTGTTCTTTCTTCATGCGATGCCCAGCTTCCCCCTTCCTGCACCAGCCCCGCCCTGCCTCTCCCCCTTGTGTCATGCGTGTTTGCATGGTTGTTGACTTGTACACCTATAGCACGAGAAGCCTGAAAGCAAAGACAGGCAAGCAAAAAAACCGAAAAAGGGGCTCGCTACGGAGCGTCTCAAAACCGCCAGTCAATGCGGCAAATGCTGACAGCCATGTAGCCGTGGCGAGGACATCAGGCCGTCTGATGCTGCTGCCGGTAGTCCGCAGACTGTAAAACGCCCGTGGCTTACGAGCCCTGCAGGACACAGCAGCAACCCGCATCATGAGCGCCTGCAGGGACACCGTCGCCAAGCGCCCGACCGCCGCGAGTGCCACTTCCGCTGCTGCCCCCCAAGCGCGCTGCAGCATGCACCAGCGTGTTGGCGCACCTGGAACTTGCTGTTGGGGAACTTGGCACGGGCCTCCTCCAGGGAGGGGCGGGTGTCGGCCTGCCAGAAGTTGATCACCTCTGTGCACTGGTTGAGCAGGAGCACCTTCTCGCGCTCGCCGATCCAGGTGCGCGCGTCCAGCGACGCCTTGAGCTCCTCCCACGCATCCTTGCGCGGCCAGAAGAAGTACTCGGTCACGGGGCTGCGCTGGCCCTGCAGCGCGCAGCGGGAGGCGTGGCGGGGCAGGCAGCACAGGGAGATGCGGTGAGACGGGCGCTTTGTGGCAGCAGAGGCATGATGAGCTGGAGCTCCTCCCAGCCTCAGCTGCGCGGCCCCCTGCCTCTCCCGCTCTCTCGCGCTGCCGCTCCGCCGCCCTGGCTGCCCCAGCTGCTCCCTTCTCCCCTTTCCCCAGCCCGGCAGCCAGCCAGCCAGCCCACGCCCAGCCCCAGCCAGCGCAACAGCGCCACATCAGCGCCACATCGGCGCCGCACCTGGTGGAACACCTGGTCCACCGCCACCGCGATGTTCTTGTCCAGCCACAGGAAGTTGAGGGAGAACTCGGCGGCGTCGGTGGGCATGCCCTCCGCAGCCTGCAGCTTGGCCAGCTTCTCGGCAAAGCTCTGCAGCAAGGGGGGCAGGGAGGCGTGGGAGGGAGGCACGAGGAGGGTGGAGGGGCGGGCACGAGGGCGCGCGATGCTGGGCTGGGGCCGGCAGCAGGCGTCACGGCATGGCCCGCAGGCGATCGTCATGCATGCATGCACGCAGCAACAGCGCAAGCCACGCCAAAAAAACCAGCGGCGCGCCAAAAGCACAGCAGCAGCCAGCCAGCCAGCTTGGGCGCCTCACCGAGCTGGGCGCCTCCTCCACATACTCCTCCTCGTCGGTGGACACCTCCTCAACCTCCTCCACCTGCAGCAGTGTTCTAACAGGGTGTAAATCGCGCGCTGCAGGGCAGACTGCGAGCCGCCGCTGAGCCGGCCCGACCCCCGCCTGCGCCGCCGCCCGCGCCCGCACCTCTGCGGCTGCTGCGATGATAGACTGCCTGCTGTGGAAGTGCATGGCGCGTGCCGGCGCCCGGAAGGCTAGCTGCCGGGCCTGTGGCCTGCCAGCCGACCGCGCGGCCTGCAGGGGCATCCAGGCGGCGCGCCGGTGTAAGCGACAGACTGCACGGCCACAAGCATGGGTGATGGCGCGGCACCTCTGGTGCCCACCTGCACTGGACGGGCGGCAGCACGAGCCACAAGCATGGACGCCATGCTGCCTGTTGCTGCTCAAGTATATGCACGACGGGACGGAGGGGCCGGTAGAGAGGGAGCGAGCCGCAATGCACAATGTTCATGTGGCGCAAGGGGTGGGTAGGCCAGCTCATCCCCGGCCGAAATGCCGTCCACCCAGGCGATTATCCAGTGCATTGGTGCATCGCCTTGAGGCGGTGCTGCTGGAGCCGGCGAGCTGGCCGGACGAGCCCCTCGGCTTTGAGGTCTTGCCCCCACAAACATGGCAGGAGGCGTGGCACAGCAGTGTGGGCACGCCCTGGGCTGGCTGCCACGCCCCATCCGGATGCAGGCCCAGCCCAAGGCGGCCCCGGCATCGGCGCTGCCAGCCAGACGGCAGCCCTTGCGTCCGCGCAAGGCGTCGCCGCCCGAGCAGCCGCAGCTAGCCCCGCGGCAGCAGGCCGACGCGCGGCAGCCCCCACTCGCCTGCTCGCCCGCGCCGTCGTCGGCGCCCTCCACGGCAGCGGTCGCCTGTGCCGCGGCGGCGCTGGGCCTGGGCGGCCTGCTGGCCGCCGCGGGTCCCGCCGCCGCCTCGGAGCTGCTCAGCGGCCTGCAGGCGGGCGCCTTCATCCCCGGCCTGGTGGGCGACGACCCGCTGAGGGAGGGCTTCATCCAGGCCCTGCTGCTCATCTTCTTCTCCGAGATCGGCGACAAGACGTTCTTCATCGCGCTGCTGCTGGCGCTGCAGCAGCCGCGGTCGCTGGTGTTTGCGGGCACCTTTGGCGCGCTCGCCGTCATGACCGTCATCTCAGTGGGCCTGGGCCGCGTGCTGCACCTGCTGGACGAGGTGAGGGCGGCGCTGGGGGCAGGGCCGAGGGCGCCACTGGAGGCTGGCCGCTGAGCTGAGGCGCAGTGTGCGAGCTGGGGCTGCGCAGCCCGTGGGATGCCGCAGCGGGAGGGAGCAGCGCGGGCAGCGGCCAGCTGCTGCCGCCCGCACGCCATTGGAGCCCGCTAGGCCACGGGGGCCCGCCTGGCGGCACCCACACACCAGCGGCCCCGCCCCCCCCCGACCCCCCTGCCTGCCCCGCAGGTGGTGCCCAACGCGGGCGGCCTGCCGCTGGACGACCTGCTGGCGGTGGCGCTGCTCACCTTCTTTGGGGTGCAGACGCTGCGCAGCGCGGCAGACGCCGACAGCAAGGCGGCGGAGGAGAAGGAGGAGGCGCAGGAGGTGGTGTCCGCCTTTGGCAGCGGTGAGGCGCGCCGGCGGGGTGGCGCGCCTGCATGCCTGCCGCCTGGCCGGCTGGTGAACCGGCCCAGCAGGGCGGCCCCAGCATGCGCGGCGCCCTGCGCTCAGGCAGGCAGGCCCCTCGCGTCGCTGCGCGCCTGATGACTGCCTGCCTGCCCCCGCAGGCGCTGCGCTCACCATGGTCGCCTCCACCTTTGCGCTCGTGTTTGCCGCCGAGTGGGGCGACAAGTCGTTCCTGGCAACCATCGCCCTGGCCGCCGCCTCCTCGCCCACCGGTGCGCCTGCTGGGCCTGCCTGGCTGGCTGGCCGGCCATCTGTCTGCAGCTGGCTGGTCGGCCAGCTGTTGGCGGCTGCGGGGTTGAATGCAAAGCGGGGCACGGCCCCCGGCTGCCTGCTCCTTCTGCTTCTGCTTCCCTGGCTGCATGGGGCCGCGGGCGTTCCCGCCCAGCCTGCTCGTGACGCCCCTCCCTGCACCGCCGCCCGGGCGTGTCGCCGCAGGCGTGGTGCTGGGGGCGGTGGCGGGGCACGGTGTGGCCACAATCATTGCCGTGCTGGGGGGCAGCATCCTGGGCAGGTACCTGGATGAGCGGGTGGTGCAGTACGTGGGGGGCTCGCTGTTCCTGGTGAGCGCCCCGCCTGGGCTGGACTGTGGGCCGGGTTGGGCTGGGCCCGCAGCCTAGCATCAAGGCTGGCTGCCAGTGCCGGCAGCGAGGTGGCGAGCCTCCAGCCTTCCACCGCCTGCGCCTGCATGCTTTCGCTTTGCCCGCGCTGTAACAAGTTGCAAGTGCTGCCCACCCTGCAGGTGTTTGCTGCGGCCTCCATCTACGACATTGCCACCGGGGCGGCGGTCCAATGATACATGCGTCTTGCCACCCCCTGCCGGCCTTGACAGCACCCTTGGGCTGCCGTCGACATCGCTGAACTGCACCCCACCAGCCTCTGTCCTCCTCTCCTGTCGTTGCTGGAATCTGGCCGCCGCTGCCTGGTGCCCTCTGTCCTGCCCCTTGATGATGCTCCTGCGCTGTCCCTCCCTCCCCTCACACATTGAGCCCCCGTTTTCCACACGCCCTGGGGTGTGCCAATTACATTCATTGACTGTGTATCAACAGCATTGCAAATTCTCGAATCAGCAATGGGCGGGGGGGAGGCGAGGGATCAGTACCGGTGAAGAGAAGGGGAGAGCAGGGAGTGTACAGAGCGGGGCGCTGCACGCTTGGCGGGGTAGGGGGCCACAATGCAGGCCAGCACAGGGGTAGGAGCGGGGCTCCACTGTCCACTTTGGGTCTAGAGAATCAACCTGCCATTGTTTTATAGAAGCAGCCGACGGCGTGGCAGCAGGCAGCCCGGGGCGGCGCGGTCGCCCGCAGCGGGTGCTCCCCTCAGCGGAAGAGCGGCAGGAGCGCGTACTCCACATAGAACAGGGCCCAGGAGAACATGTACGCCCTGCTGATGTCCTTGGGGCTGGACAGGTCGGTGCGGCACGCGCGCCACAGCAGAAGCGCGCCCAGCGCCACGTGGGCGACGGTGGTGGCGGCCCGGCTCCACGCCAGCTCCGACTGCAAGCCCACCGCGATGGCGCCTGTGCGGGAGGCGGGCGGCGGGAGCGCGGGAGAAGGGGCTGGTGAGCAGGGGCTGGCGCTGGTGGCTGCGCATCCCTTGGTCTGCTGGGAGGGGAAGGGCGGATGGATGCGCCCCTGCGCTGCCGCTCCCCGGCGCCGCGTCAGGCTCGTTGATCGTTGAGCAGCCACCCCCCGCACACACACCAGCAGGTGGGGACAGCTCACCAGCATATGCTGCCTCCAGGATGGCAATGCACGCCCAGAAGACGCGCTTGGGGCCCAACCGCACGCTGAGCGTGCGCACCCCCGCCTGCAGCCGGCAGCGCCGCAAGCCGTTGGGCGCAACGGCTGGGCGGCGGGCCTGGGCTCTCGAGCCCCCTCCCATTCCCTCCACATCTGCCTGCAACTGCGCCTACCCACGCCCATCTGCATCTCTGCCGCCACCCAGGCCACCCAGCCACCACGCACGAAGCATGCCCCGCCAGCCAGGCCAGCCAGCAACATGCCCCACCAGGCAGGCAAGCCAGCAACAGCCAGCACCGTGCCCCCTCCCACCTGCCGGTCCCCCGCAATGTCGGGGATGTCTTTGAACAGCGCAATGACCACCGAGAAGAGCAGCATGAAGGCGGTGGCAAAGGCGATGGGGCGGGTGATGGCGGGTGCGGGTGAACCCAGCGCCAGCTGCATGTGCCAAAAGAAGCCCAGCTGCACCAGCACCGCCCTGCAGCGCGAGGGAGGGAGGGAGGCGCGGGCGGGGCACGGCACGGGCTGGTTGGTGGGAGGCAACGAGGCGGCGGCGGGCGGCGGGAGGCAGGCAGGCACGCCGCCTGCCATCCCTCTCGCCGGCCCTCCGAGGCGCTGCGCGGTGGGGGGTGCACAGACACGCCAGGCAACCGGCGGCTGGCGGCCGGCGCCTGGCGTTCACCAGCGAACATCGATCACCTGACCGCCAGGATGCACGCCGCCGCCAGCACCGGGCTGCGCTTCCAGCGCAGGCCCGGCAGATCAGTGGAGTATGCGATGCCCAGCAGCAGGCTGCCGCCCAGCGTGCCCAGCAGCGGCGGCGAGGCGGCGGCGGCGCCGATGGCCAGCGAGGCGGCGCCTGTGGCGGCCACAATGGCGCGGCCGGTGGGCGGCGAGAAGTCGCCGGCGGCCAGGGGCAGGTAGGGCTTGTTGACCCGGTCGATCTCAATGTCGTACAGCTGCAGGTGGAAAGCATGTGGCTGGGTGGGTGGCTGGGTGGGTGGGTGGGGGCTCCAGCTGGGAGCGGAGGGGGAACTGGTGGGGAAAGCTTTGAGTTGCTGTGTGTGCCACCTCAGCCGCGGCCCACCTGGTTGATCCCCACGATGCAGATGTTCATGAGCAGGGCGGAGGAGAGGGCCTGCAGGGCGGCCAGCGCCGCGGCGGGCCCCAGCTGGCCGGGCCCCACAGCCAGCGCCGACACGCTGCACACGCTGACCGCGGTGCCCAGCATGGTGTGGGGGCGGCTGAAGCGGTACAAGGCATCCAGCCAGGCGCCCGCCCCCGCCGGCCGCTCCCGCAGCCCGCCCGCAGCCGCCGCCGCCGCTGCGGTCCCTCCCAGCGGCAGCTCGCTGCCACTGCCGCCCCCGGCGCCTACATTGTCGGCAGCTGCCTGCAGGGGCGGCGGCAGCAACCGACGCTGCCGGCTGCGCGGCGCCGCTGGCTGCGGCTGCTGCTGCTGCGGGGACTGCTGCTGGCGATGCTGTCTATGCTGCAGCACAGACCGCGGCTGTGCAGCGCAGGCTTGCAAAGGGGTGCCGTGACCTGCACAGCCAGTGACCAGGCTGCCACTGTGGGCTCGGCCAACGAGCGGCGGCTGCGGCGTTCGGGACAGCCTGCACCAGCGGGCTGCTGCCCGCGGCGCACCTGCGGATCGCAACCTGTGCGCAGAAGCTAGACAAGGGCCAGCGCCCAGGCCTGGCGGCCCAGCCAGGCTCCTGCACCACCACAGGACGGCAGGGCTTGGTGAGTTGAGGCCCAGGGCGGCTGACGGGCGGGCATTATGCAGATCAGGCACCTTGGTTGCGTTCCAGCCATTGCCCAGCTCTCCCGAGCTCCGCCCCAGGCCTAGCTTCAGTGACCGCTGCGATCGGGCGGCCCACACAGCGCCCCAGCCTCGGCACCGAACGATGAATGCACTAGACCGAATCGGTGAATTCACGGATCGGCTGGCGATGGCTTGGCTCATTCTGTACAGCAGCAATACTCCTCCACTCACTCACCTCCAGCCTCCCACAGACGCCCAGCTATTCCACACCGTTGTGCCCCTCTGGGTGCCACGTGTGGGGCGATTCCAGTGCTCCCACCTCTGACGCCTGCCATCATCCGCCTTGCATGCACTAGCTGGCGTGATGACGAGGGCTGGGCGTCTGCCTAACCCGTGATGGCATCCTCGGGACCAATGTTGGTGAGGCGGCACGCTGCGGAGGCTCTTGCACCCGCCGCTGCAGCCGGCCGCGCTGCTGCCACCGCCGCCCGCCCTGTCTCTTGGCTGCGAGGTGTGGCAGCACCCTCCACGCTGCATCCTCTTCTCATCATGCGCTATGAAAAAAACTATGCAAACGGACTTCGGAATGACGTTCTTTTCCGCTTATTGCTTGAGCGCTGATGCCGGGGGAAAACCACTCCCGACCTGTGCACACATAGTATGCACCCCCGCCTGCCGCTGCATCGCCTGCCCTGTTGCACAACTCGCCGGGCATCCAGCCCTTGCCCGAGGGTCAGAAACCTGGGTAGGGTCACTCTAGTCACGGCATACCAGAAGGGGATCCTATTCTGAGCGTGAGGGTCGTCGCCGTTCACAGCGGCGGCGGGCCGCTGACCTCCTCAGAAGTTTGGCCCCGCACATCTCAACCCCACCTCCACCGCCGCATCGCCTGTGCACTTGCCCAGCAGCACTAGCAGCAATTTCCTGCCCCCTGCCTGTGCCACTTGATTCAGGTCACCCCCGGTGCGGCGTCTCGTGCGCCAGCAAACTTGCTCAACTCGGCAACCCGCCCGGTGAACAGGTGAGCTGGTGCTGGCTTGGCAGCGCGGTCGCGCCCTGCATCTACCCCCAGCCTTTCCACGCCACCGCAACACTTCCATACCACCGAGGACGGCCCCCGGGCCTTGTGGCTCGCTGGCCCATACGATTGCGCACAATGAGAGCTGCATGGCAGGGCTGCGGGGGCGCGAGCCGCCGTGCACGGCCGGCTGCGGGCTTCGCCCTGCGCCGGTCTGCCCTGCCAGCCGCGACAACCGCCATCCTCTGCACCCTCATCCCGCCTGCATCTGTCTGCCATTGGCAGCGCGCACCTCTGATCCTGCAGCCCCTCCTGTTTGGTGTGCAGGATTGCCCGCGGCTTCGGTGGCATTGACCCCGGAAGCAGCTCCCACCTTGAGTCTAAGCTCCCCAGTATTTTCTCCCCGCATCTGCTCATACTTTGCAAAATACACTATCAAAGCATCCACCGTGACGAAACGCTATTGTAAGCACCGCCCAGATCGATGCATTGCACTAGGGTGGGCGGTGCTTGGCGGCGGCGGCGGCGGCACAGCATTCTCAGCACGTCCGGGTGTCGCCCACGGGGCCTGCTTGCCCTCCTCTGCACCACCTCGCTGCATACAAAATCGATTGTTGGGCTCTCAGCGGCCCCAACCGCGTTCAGCACGCACCTCGACTCGGTCAGCACAGATAGACATGTGGCCCCCTCGGAGCTCCTGAGAGCCACAGAGGACGGCGACAGGCCGCAATGCACGCCCCGCCGATTTCCGGCGGCGCGGCCCGGGACCCGGCAGGGGCAGGTGGCGGCGCCGGTCCGGCACCGGCGGCAGCTGCGCCTTTCGCTGTGGCACACGGCACGCTGGACAGCAGCGACATCCCAGGCGCCGCCCCCAGAAGGGTCTTGCGTCCGCCACGCAGCGCGCCACAGGTATGCGACTATTCATTCTCGGACCAGGTGCAGCCCAGCCGGCGCCGCTCACCCCAACTGCCACCCAACAACCCCTGTCCAGTGCCCCTTAAACACGCATGCCACCTGCCCCCCGCGCAGCTGCCCGCCGACCCCGGCATGCAGCCACAGCGCCTCACCCGCCAGCGCAACGAGCCGCGGGACCTTCAGCTGAACGTTGCGGACATCCCGGGGGCCAGCCCCGGCGGGCACAGCGACTGGCCGCGCCCCCGCTCCCACCCGCTAGACCCTCTCAACCCTCAGTACCGCTACCTGCCGCCACGCCCACCCGAGGCGCCGCTGCCGCCACCCGCCTTCATACGCAACACGCTGGATGTGAGCGATATTGAAGGGGCCAAGGTGAGTGGGCGGTTGGGCGGGCCGGGAGCAGAGTAGTGCTGCGGTTCCTCCATCCAGCAGCCAAAGTTACGGTGGAGAGGCAAACTATGCAGCAAGGATTGCTCCACAGCCCACAGCACCCTGCCAACCCGTCCCACAGCCAGCCCCGCCTTCCGTTTCCTGCTTGCAGCCGCAGTCGCCCGCCGGCCGGACCCGCCACAGCCAGCCCAGCACCCTGGACAGCTCAGACATCGAGGGGGCCAGCGCGGGGTGGTGCCCGCGCACCCTGTTTGCTGGTCAGGCCAGGGATCTGATGCGGGTGGCGGACATCAGCGGGGCGCGCCCCCAGGCCAAGGACAAGCACCTCCAGCTGGCAGCCAGCGGCGGCAGCGGCAGCAGCGGGGCCGCTGAGCCGCACGGCAGCGGCGGGCCGTGGCAGCGCTCGCCGTCGCCGTACGGCGCGAGCCTGGCGGGGGGAGGGGGGTGGCCCCATGCGGCAGCGCCCGGGGTTGGGGTCGCTGTCACGCCAGACTGGCACAAGCGGGTGCAGCAGGCAAAGGTGCAGCAGGCGGAGGTGGCGCGGCAGGCGCGGCACGCAGCAGATGCAGCCATCGGCGCTGCCGCCACCAAGGCAGCAGCGTCCCGCAGCCAGTCTCCCAGCCCCCACCCTGCTGGCAGCTGTGGTTCAGGCAGCAGGGGAGAGGCGGCGGCTGCGGGGCTGGCAGGAATGCTGCAGAGCCTCAAGGCATTTGATCGAGACCGCAGCGGTAGGGTGCAGGTGGGGCGGGGTGAGCGGGAGAGAGGCAGCAGCGCCTCGCCCAGTGAAGCTGAGTGAAGCTGTCCCTCACAGGGCCACAGCTCAGCCGCCGACGCATGCATGGGCCACCACCCAGCAGCCTTGGTTGCCTGCACTGAGCCCCAAGCCTTTCCCTGCCGCATGCCCTTGCGGCGTCCCACCTGCAGGCTGGCGAGTTTGCGTGTGTGCTGCAGCGCGGCGGGCTGGGGCTGTCGCTCAGCGAGGTGCAGCACCTGACGGCCAGCGTGCAGGACAGCCACAGCTGCGTCGAGTACCGCCCCTTTGTGTCCAAGCTCTGGGGCAAGCTGCAGGCGGCAACTGCCGCAGCGCAGGGCCCCGCGCCAGGAGGTGGCGCCACCGGCAGCGCACCAGCCGCCAGCAGCCCGACGTCGCAGCTCCTCCCACAGTTCATTGCGGCCAGGCAGCGGCGGCTGCAGACCAGCGTGGGGGTGGTGCTGGGCCAGCAGCCTGAGGCGCTTGCACGGGAGGCGGCGGAGGTGGTGGGCCTGCCGGGCTACCAGCCATGGAAGGAGCCAGCGCTCAGGGCGTTTGGAAAGCGCATGGAGGGCTACCCGCACCCCGCAGAGTTTGAGAGCTGCTACAGCTTCTGCGACGGCGACTCGCGCTCGGCGCAGGTGGGCGGGCGCTGGCGTGGGGCGGTCGGTGTTGCTTCGCAACCCAGCGCAGGCGCCACTGCTGCATGCTTCGCCCCTGTTGATCCCCACTCACAATGCCGTGCTGCAAAGCAGGCTGCCCAGAAGTGGAAGCTCAGCAAGGACCACCAGGCGGCCTGGGGCATGCGGCGCAGGGGCGGCCCAGCGGAGCAGGCGCAGCATGGCGGGGCCGCCAGCAGCACGCTGCCTCCCACCTCACCTGGCGCCCACACTGCGGGGGCCCAGCGCCGCCACCAGCAGCAGCAACAGCAGCAGAGGCTTGCAACGCCAGCAGCTGGCAACCATGCTGGCGCCAGCGCCGCAGAGGCGGCATCGAGCCAGGCGGCAGCGAGCCAGGCGGCACAGGGCCCGGCCAGGGGCACCAGGAGCGCGCCACCCACCGCCAGCTACATGCGCAGAGACAGCCCGCTGCTAGCAGCGGAGCGGGCAGCGCGGGCAGCAGCGCAGCAGGATGTGGAGCTGCTCCGCAGCCTGCAGTGAGCCGGGTGGCAGCAGGAATGGCGGGGCAACAGGGCAGGGCGTGGGTTGAGAGAGGTTGGAGCAGCTTGGGAGACGGGGCAGGGCGCGAAGCGGTTACAAGAGGCGAGGGTGCCTGACAAATGAAGCAATGTAATGGGGAGCAACAGCGGCAAGCATGCGAGGGGCAGGGGCGCACGCGGGGTAGCATACATGGAGGTGAGGGGAGGAAAAATGCGGCGGGCATGCGCTGCAGGGAAAAATGAGTGGCATCGAGGCAGAGCAAGCAAGCAAGCGAAGCAAAACCTGCATGCCAAGGGTTGCGGAGCGGCGCCAAGGGGGGCGGCACTCAGGCTCTGGCCCCAGGGCTGGCGCTCGCTTTGACCCCAGCAGTGCCAGGCCGCCTCATTGCCTGGTGGGCGAGTTTTGTGCCGCCATCGCCGCCCGCTGCTGCGCCGACTCCAGCGCTAGGTAGCCGCCGCTCGACACCATGATTGCCACGGTGGCACCCTGCGCAATCACGCGCGCACGCATGAAGTGCTGCGCCATAGCTGCCTTGCCGTTCTTGAAGGCCACCAGGCCGCCCAGCAGCACGCCGGCCGTGACGGCGGTGCCTGCAGGCGGGGTGGAGCGCGGCGGCCCGGCGGTGAGCGGCGCGCCAAACCCGAGTGCGGAGCCACATCCCAGGGGTGAATTTGCATCCCCCTTTCTGCAGAAGCGCGCGAAACCGACCTACTAGCACCCAGGGGTTGCGTTTGCGGCGTGCCGGTATGATATCGTACTCGGGGGCCTCAGGCTCCATGTTGCTGCCGTCAAAGAGGTCTGAGAGTTGTGTGGTGACCGCAGACAGCGGGCTGGTGGGCTGGCGGGTGTTTTGGCGTCTGGCGGCGCGGCTTGCCGGCACGCGCAGCTTGCGGGATCGCCACTGGGTGATCCTGTTGTAAATTGGTGCTTGGCATGTGGCGGGATGAGTGAGCCGAAAACCTGCGTAAGCCTGCTGGGCCTGCCGCCGCCACCTCCCGGTGGCCGCTGGTGGTCCACATGCTGGGGCTGGGCACCAGCCCCAGGCTACGCTTAGCATGCCGGCTACTGACATTCGTGTGTTCCAATCGGTTATTTCCAAGGGCCTCCAATAGACTCGTCACTCTGGCCGACGCTGCCGCCCTCCCTTCTGCTGCTGCTGCACCTGCATGCCGCCGCGCTCCTCCTGCTCCTCCTCGCTCTCGATTTCCGTCGCCGCCTCTTCCTCGTCCTCCTCATCCAGCCGCCGGAAGATGTCTTCAAGCTCCTGCTGCTTTGCCGTCAGTGAGTCGTGCTTGAAGACCAGCTGAGGCATGTTGCGGGCGCGCAGGGAGTGCGCCAGCGCAGCCTTGAGCTTGGGCATCCTGCGTAGCAAGGGGGCCGGTGGCAGGCCCAGCCGGTCAGCATACTGTGGTGATATTGTGACGCTGGTAGCATGAGTGGCAGGCAGAGGCCGACTGCAGCCTCAGGGTGGGAACAACGCAGGCCCGCCGCGGCTCAAGCCATGAGCCTGAGGCACACTCACTGTTGTGCCAGCTCGTGCTTCAGCGCCACGTGCTGCCCCTTGAAGCTGTCCCACTGGATGAAGGCCTTGAGATTGTCTGGAGACATGCGTACATCCTGCAGGGGGATGGGGGCAGGGCACAGCGGCCGCAGCACAAGAGGCGGCGTTGCGTTTTGGGCACAATGCGGCACGGCGGTTGCAGCTGTTCTATTCGGCTCTCCCAGCAGCGCACCTTGAGGGCAAACCCAAGCTCGCTGACCAGCCGCTCCCGCAGCTTGTCGTTGTGCGTCAGCACCGCGGTCAGCGCATTGACCAGCCGCTTTGCAACTGCACAGGCAGGGCGCGCGCAGCGGGCAGGTCACGAGCCAGTGCTGGCGCACACCCTGCCTCCCGGCAGCAGCAACGAACACTCACATCGTTCTTGGTGCTTGGTGGCTGGCCATATGACCTCTGTGGGGGACCTGCAGGTGAGGAGAAACAAACCAGGGCACCGGTGGGCGACCGCCAGGGGCGGAGCCGGCGCAGATGCAGCCGCCGCTGCAGCACAGCATGCGAGGCCTTCACAGCAGCTCGCCTGTAACTTGGGTCGAATTCGGGGAGCCTCTCAGGCTCCGAATCGGCTGCTGCACGGCTGCGCCTGAACGGCCTGTCCGACCCAGCAGCGGCAAACCCTCTGCTGCCAAGCAATTGGGTGTGTGATGCCTGCAAAAAGCTTCGCAGGCTGATAAGCTCGACAAAGGGCCGCAGAGCGCCGGTGCCGCAAGACATGGCTGTGTTGCAAGCGCCCAGGAGGGAGAGTGCGGTAAGGATGTATGCATATAAGGGCAAAGCAATATTAGATGCGTGAGCGCCTTCCGGCGGCGCCACCTCATTGCCGCCACCGCATCTCCCGTCTGTGCTGGCACCGGCGGCGGCGTGTAGGTCTGTGGTTGGTTGGGTCTTTACATTGCAGGAGAGGGGTGAACGAATGCGCAAGCAGATATGACGTAGCGAGGCAGAGGGACCAGCAGAGGCAAAGTTAGTAGACAGGGCGGGGTCACACGAATACCAGTTTTCGCTAGGGTGTGGCAAGTAAATAACATCATCATTCATTGGCCGGGCACGGGCACGGGCACAGGGTCTGGGCAGCAGGGATTATTGGAGACTAGAGGGCTTGCAGGAGCCTCGGCTGGGCTGGGGGGGGGGCAAACCGGGAGCTCCATCGATGGGAAGGGTGAGCGCCGCTCAGGCGCGGTGGATGAACACGGTGCACGGCGCCTGCAGCACGCGGATCGGATGCGTGTGAAAGCAGGCTTGGAAACGAGCAGGAGCGGCGTCGTAGGCCCCACAGGCTGCTCAGCCAGCCAGCCAGCCAGCATCGGCCAGCGCAGCTCACGTGGTGTGCCACGTAGTCGGACACCGAGCCCAGGCCCAGCATGCCCATGAAGCGGCGGCGGAAGGCGCCCAGCCCGCGGCTGCCCACCACCACCGCGTCCGCCTTGTGCGCGGCGGCATAGTCTGAGATGGTGCGCCCCACGTCGCCCGCTGCACGGGTGGCGGCCGGGGCGGGGAGCAAGGCGCTGAGCACACGAGGGGGTGCAGCGATGAGGCCATGAGAGAACGGGGGCACATGGCATGCATGCCTTGCAGGCAGGGGCAGCCAGCCTCGCTGCCGCCGACGCCAGGCCCTTCCCGGCAGCCGCGCCGCCGGCTCACATGTGGCTGTGTTGGAGGGCAGCGGCACGATCTTCACATTGGCCGGCTTCACGCCCGCCTCCGACAGCAGCATGTCCCGCAGCTTGGCCAGGAAGGCGCGGCTGGAGTCCATGGCTGTGGCGTCTGCCTCCGCCTGCGGCGGCAGGGCAGGCAGCGCGCGCACGGGGAGCAGGGTGGGGAGGCACGCAGGGTGGGTGGCGAGGCAGCGCGAGCGCTGGCGAGGCGAGGAGGGCCAGCATACTTGCAGATAAGCCGCACGACAGCTAAGGCCTGGCAGAGACCTGCCCACACCCGCCTGGCTGCCGCCTCGGTGGAGGGAGCATGCGAGGCCAGGCGGGGCATGCACGGCGGGCAGGGCGGCAGCCCCACCTTGACGCCAGAGGGCAGCACGCCGCCTTCGCCAGAGTTGTAGTCCGCCTGTGGCAGGGAGGGCAGCCGGGAGCGAGGGAGGGGCTTGGGCAGCAGAGCGGCACTGCAGCGCGGGAACCGGGGCGGGATACCACCTGCGCTGGTGGTGCACATGCACTTGCAAAGGGGGCAGGCGCACCTGGGAGGAGGCGGTGGAGTCCAGCACCTGCACCAGGTGCACCTCCTGGCCGCGCTGCAGCAGGTTCCTGGCCGCCCAGGACACGGTGTCGGCTGCAGGGCGGCAGGCGCAGGCGGGCAGGTTGACCAGGCCGCCAGCGGCGGCGGGCGGGCGGCGGAGGCGGCGGCAGCGGGGGAAGCACTGCAGCCCAGCCCGGCGCCTTCTGCTGCACCACGTGGCGCCAGACGCCGGCTGAGGGGCCTGCCCGCAGTCGTGGAGGCCGCGCCCAAAATTTGTCAGTGGCCGAACCGAAACCCAAACGCTCGTGTGCTCACCGGAGATCGCCGAGTCATCCACCGCGACCACAACTCTCTCACTGGGCCCGGAGATGGCAGAGGCTGCGTTGCCCATGGCTTTTGCTGGTCTGGTGTTTGAGGCAAGGGAGCGTGAGTGCAGCTGCAGTGAACGACGGGAGCGTTGGCGAGGCTGGGTTTGGAGCGGAATGCGCGAAACGGGCGCGCTGCCGGCCAGATGTGGCTCCCGCCCGCTGCCTGCCTGGCGGCCTTGCATGCGGCGGCCCCGCCAGTGGACCTGAATCTCGAGCATTACAACAGCGAAAGCAAAGTAGCGCAGCATAAGAATGGCAACACAACAACTGAGGTGTGTAAAATGACACAGGGAAAGGTAAAGAGCCATTATGTATGTTTCAAGGGAAGAGGGATGCAGTGCTTGGGGGAGCGGCGGCGGGGCCTTGGGCGGCGGGGCAACGCGGCCGCCCACCGCACCAGCGGCCAAGCATTTCAGAAAGGGAGGGGAGGATGAAGGCAATGCGGTGGTGCGTTCTCGGGGCCTCCGGCCCCTTCCCTCGGCTGCAGAGTTTATCAGAGTGTTTCAGAGTTTTGGTGCTGGGCGGCGGGCGGCTCACCCGACGTGTGGGGAGGTCACCGCCGGAAGGACTGCGGGCCCTGGGGCGGCTGGCTGTCCAGCACCTTGGGCGTGCTGCCCAGGCTGCCCACCTCCACGCCCACGGAGCTGAGGCCCGACAGAGGCGTCCCCACGTCGCTGATGGTGCGGCTGGGCCCACCGGGCGGCGGCGAGGCGGGGGTGCCCGGCGGCGGCGAGCCGCCGCGGGGGCCGCCGCCCCGGCCGCCGCCGGCCGCGCCCGCGCCCGCGCTGGCCGCCGCCGCCGAGGTGGAGGCCTCGGAGGCGGCGCGCGCCACGCCGCCGCCCTCCGACCCACCCAGCGCGCCCTTGGCCGCCAGTGTGCGCTCCAGCATGTCCCTGCGGCGGCAGGCACAGGGCGTCAAGCACAGGGGGTCAAGCACACGCCTGCGGCAGGGCCGGGCACCGCTCGACAGGCCAGGCCTGCCCCCACGCCCCTCCGCGCCGCCCTCCTGCACCAGGCGCCACACCCTGCCTCCCTCTCTCACGCACCCAGTCCTCCCCTGCCTCCCCGCCCCACACAGCCCTCCCCTGCCTCCCCCCCCCCCCACACACACACACAACACCCACCTCAACTCCGCGATGACCTCCTGGAATCCGGGCCTGTCTGCGGGGGTGTGCGCCCAGCAGCGGTTGACCAGGGGGTAGAAATTGTCCACCTCGCACCAGGTCTGCGTTGGGGGCGGGGGCAGGCACGGGCAGGGCAGGCGCGAGGGCGGCGGCGGTGTGTGGCGGTGTGTTGGGGGTCCCGGGAGGCAGGCAGGCAGGCAGGCATGCAGGCAGGCATGCAGGGGAACAAGTAGGGGCGCGGCTGAGAGCATGCCAAAGGCATGCATGCAGGCATGCATGCGCGCCCCACCTGCCAGTCTGGTCCCGGCAGCTTCTCCCGCGGCGGCAGCTCCAGGCGGCCGCCCTCCGACACAATGGTGACAACCTGCCAGGGGTTGGTGGCGCCCCACGGAAACTCC